CAGTTCAGAAATGGCAAGCCAGTCTGCAGACGGTTCCACGCCCTTCACTTCCAAGGCACCGAGTTGCGTGGACCTGGAGAATGTGATAAAGTTTTGGGTCAAGCAGAGACTACGCGTTTTTCGGAGCTGCTAATAACGCAAGATTAGTTTTGACCGACTTACGCGATAGATAAATGGTAATGCTACTCTGCACAAGTAAAATTAGGACGATTAGATTACTTGACTCCCATTTGTTTAGTACACGTATGGATGTGTTCGGCACAATTATCAAAGTTGTCAATCTTTTCATTCGATCACAGGCTTCGACAAAGTAACGAGATTCACTTTCATCAAGTGATGAATTACCTACTTGATGCACTTTGGTGTACATGTGTCTGTAGCCTTGTGTTTATGCATATGCTTAACTGACGTGCCTGATATGTTTGGTCTCTAGAAATCTGTTGATCTTTAAACGAATACTAGTCAGGCCCTTTGGAAGTCATGCAAGCAAATCATCTGCATATCACTAGCAACAAATGGGAGTTCCAATCTGCATATGACTATGACAGTCTAGACATGATGAGATTGGGAAAAACTTCAAGCATGTATTACTGATTGCCATAGTCTGTTGATATAGTTACAAGAATTTGACAAAAAGGAAAGATACAATCATTCCTAAAATCATATAATGGAAAGCTAAAACTACTCCTACAATCACGTCATGACAAAAACATATGTGGTAACAATATATACAGTTATATGACTGAATATCTCAACACTCCCCCTCAAGTTGGAGCATGGAGATTGCGAATGCCCAACTTGTTCAACAAATGGTGGAATTGAGCTTTCCCAAGTGCTTTGGTATGCAATCACGAATGAAATGGCAATCAATTTCAATGTGCTCTATACGTTCATGAAAAACTGGATTTGCAGCAATGTATAGAGCAGTTTGGTTGTCACAAAAGAGAGACATGGGTGATGCTAACGAAACTTTCAATTCTGCAAACAAAGAACGCAGCCAAACAAGTTCACTAGTAGCATTGGCCATTGCCCTATACTCTGCTTCAGCGGATGAGTGGGAAACTGTAATTTGCTTTTTGGACTTCCAAGAAATCGGGCTATTGCCGAGGAAAATGATATAATCACTAGTTGATCGTCGAGATGTTGGGCAGCTGGCCTAATCTGAGTCACAATAAGCAGTGAGTTGTAGCAAACTAGCAGATGACAAAAATATACCTTGGCCTGGTGCCCTTTTGAGGTAGCGAAGGACTTGATAAGCTGCATCCAAGTGAGGAACACGTGGATCTTGCATAAATTGACTGAGAACTTGTACTGGATAGCTAATGTCAGGTCGAGTTATCGTCAAATAAAGTAGCCTTCCAATGATACGACGATATTGACCAGCATCTTTAACTACTACACCAATTCCCACTGCCAAGTTCTGTCGTTGTTCCATAGGAAAGTCAGCAGGACGTGCGTCGAGATGACAAGTCTCTTCAAGGAGGTCTAAAGAGTATTTTCGCTGGCTAAGTACAATTCCTTCTTTATTACGAGCCACCTTAATACCAAAAAAATATTTGAGTTGCCCAAGATCTTTGATGCGAAAAGTTGAATCAAGATGATGCTTCACACGATTAACGGTGGTTGAATCATTTCCAGCCACAATAACATCATCTACATAAACTAACAAAGCAGTAAAGTGTGCTCCACTGGTGAATGTAAAAAGTGAATTATCTGTAGCAGATTGACTAAAACCAATATTCTGCAAGCAACAAGAAAATGTTTGAAACCAATTTCTAGAGGCTTGTTTAAGGCCATAAAGGGATTTCCGAAGTCGACAAACCTGATTGTCACCTGGTTTTGCAAAGTCTTGTGGTATTTTCATGTATACCTCTTCACGTAGATCTATGCAGGAAGGCATTATTAATGTCCAGCTGATGTAATTTTCAAAGTCGTACTGCAGCCACAACTAATAGACAACATAGAGTTGTAAGCTTTGCAACTGGAGCAAAAGTATTATGGTAATCGAGTCCTTCAACCTGTGTAAAACCTTCAGCAACCAAATGTGCCTTAAACCGCTCAATTGTGCCATCAAACTTGTACTTGATTTTGTACACCTACTTGAAATCAATGGCATGCTTACCAGGTGGTAGATGCTCTAAGGTCCAAGTTTGATTCTCCTCCAGTGCCTTAATTTCTTGCTGCATAGCAAGTCTCCAACGATGATCCCTAACTGCTTGGGAAAAAAACTTTGGTTCGTCTAATGAAGTGATGGAGGCCAAGTTATGAGAGATAGGATAAATTGTACCTGAGTTTGCTGATGGAGGGGACTCCCGAGATGGTTCCAAGGAGGGTAACAACTTATAATCAAAACCAGAAAGCTTTGTGGACACATGCCTTACTTGATGTGGACACTGCAAGGAAGGAATTATATTGCCACTAGGGCTGCCAGTATGTGGTTGTAATGTAGAATTATCTTTTTCATGTTGGGTTTGTTGGGAAAATGTATGTTCAATAGGAGATGGTGTGGTGTCCATCAAAGTGGAGTTTAGAAGATGTGGAATTGGGTCAGATTGTGAGTAATCATGCTAATCTATATGGGGTTGCACACTTCACATTAAAGGTTTAGACTCGTTATTTGATTGAAAAGGAAATTCTGTCTCATAAAATATCACATCCCGTGATACAAATACTTTTCTCTTTCCAAATCATAGACTTTATAGCCCTTTTGTCCATGGGGATAACCAAGAAAAATGCACCGATGGGCTTTAGTAGAGAATTTATCTCGGTGTTTGTCATGATTATGAGCATAACAAAGTCATCCAAACTCCTTCAAGTGATTGTAATTGGGTTTTCTTTTGAAAAGTATCTCATATGGGCTCTTGCCTTTAAGAGTAGGAGTGGGCATCAAATTGATAAGGTGAACTGTTGTCAAAACACATTCTTCCCAAAATTTCAAATGTAAATGGGCTTGAAAACGCAATGCTCGTACAACCTCAAGAATGTGGCGATGTTTTCGCTCCACTCGCCCATTTTGTTGTGGAGTATCAACACAAGAGGTTTGATAGTCAATCCCTTGACTAGCAAAAAAATCTCTCATGGTTCCCGAGACAAATTCACTCCCATTATCACTTTTCACAACCTGTACTGGGTAACCAAATTAAGTTTGTGTAGATTGGCAGAACATGGTTAGAAAATCATAGGCCTGGAATTTATTTTTCAAAAGAAAGACCCAAGTACATAGTGAAAAATCATCAACAACAGTTAAGAAATAATGAGTACCACTAAGTGATGAGACAGAATATGCTCCCCAAAGATCAATATGAATCAAAGCAAAAGGTTTAACACTTTTCTTATTACTGTTTGGAAAAGACAATCTTGTCTGTTTGGCCCTATAGCATGCATCTCAAATGTGATTAAAATTGCTAGGAAAAGGAATACTAGAAATTAATTTTAATCGGCTAAAGGAAGGATGACCCAAGCGCATATGCCACAAAGGTAGCATCAGATTTAGTAACACTAAGACTTGCGAGCCCGTGGCCTCCTTCTAATTGATAAACCCCATCTCGGAGCCTACCCACTCCAATCAGTATCCTCGTACACAGGTCCTGAAAAAAACAAGAATCAGGAAGAAAGGTTGCTGAGCAGTTTAATTCATTTGTAGCTTTGACAATAGAGAGGAGATTGAACTTGAAACCAGACACACAAATAACATTTTTCAAATTGATATTTAGTGTTAGGTAGGCATTGCCAACGTGAGTTACAGGGAGACTAGAGCCATTTGCAACTCTCACATTTGGATATGAAGAGATGCATTTAACATTGTCAAGTATACTTTTGTCTCCAACCATATGGTTAGAGGCACCAGTATCCAAAATCCATGAGTTATGGAATGAATTGCATTTACCTGCAAAGTTGGCCAAGGCCTCATTATCATGATTTGGTGGTCCAAGGATTTGCATGAGTTTGTTGTACTGGTCCATTGTCAATCTAAGAGGTTGTTGTGACTGTGACTTCTCACTTGGGTTGATAAATTGGTGGTCAGTTGTTGCTATGTTGTCATAGATGTGCATCTGCCCTGAATTGTTCTTGCCTCCACCATGATTGCCACCTCTGCTTTGTTGATTATTTTTCCAATTTGCTGGATACCCTATTATCTCAAAGTATTTTTCCTTGAGATGTCCCTTTTTCTTGCAATGTTCACACCTTTTACTTGATTGACTTCTTGGGGCTTGACTCTTGGTATTTTTGTTGCCCCTACGATTAGTTTTTGCTGCGAAAGCCGTTTCTTCCAAGCTGTGTGATGTTTGTTCATTTACTCGTACAAAGGATTGCTCTTTTTGTAAAACCAAGGAAAACAATTTACTGAGTGAAGGTGTAGGTTCCATGGATAGCACATTAGATCTCAATCGATCGAAATTTCCATTCAATCCCAGTAGAAATTGAAGGGCTTTTTCTTTTTCTCGGCGTAATAAGTGATCCTTGGCTGCCTCGCATTTGCAATAAGGCAATGGATCACAGATTTGCAGTTCTTGCCATAATGTTTTGAACTTGGTATAATATTGAGTTAAAGGCTGCCCATCTCCTTGGAACATGTTGGAAAATTCTTTTTTTATTTTATAAAGTCGAGGTGCATTACTTTATCCATACCTTTCACAAATCTCAGTCCAAATTTCTCGTGACGTGCCAGTGTAGACAACACTCTCTTGTATGTCCTTGGCCAAGGAATTCCTCAGCCATGCCCTAACCATTGCATCATTCTTCTTCCACCATTGAAAGTCTGGTGACTTTAGATCTGGCACTTCTAGACTGCCGTCAATGAAACCACCCTTGCCTTTGGCATATAGGGCTGTTTCCATGGTGCTTTTCCATGCTGCAAAATTTTCTCCTGTGAATGGTGTGGAGTCATCATAGATTGTAACCTCTCCCCTTTTCGCTGAATTCTCTGAAGTTGACATATTTTATTGTCAATAATTGTTAAGGCTCAACCTGCTCTGATGCCATGAAGAAAAGGGTTCAAATTGGGAAAAACTTCAAGCATGTATTATTGATTGCCATAGTCTGCTGATATAGTTACAAGAATTTGACAAAAAATGGAAGTTACAATCATTCATAAAATCATGTAATGGAAAGCTAAAACTACTGCTACAATCACGTCATGACAGAAACATATATGATAACAATATATACAGCTATATGATTGAATATCTCAACATGGGAAGGTATGAGCAATTTGAACTTTCTTTACTCCAACCCCAAACTTGTTGAATGCGCATTCAATTCTCATACAGGGTTCCCGTTGATGGGTCTTATAGCATGCAGTCATGAGAGTCAGCTGTTGGTTGGGCTTGCTTCTTTTTTAGTGGATAATTAGCAGAGACACGTAGCTGTCGAAGGGAGAAAAGCTTGGAAAAGATTATCAGCTTTTTCAAAGAGAGGATTGAAGCATGCTTTATTATATATCGTACCGTAAGGACTTTTCCTTACCGTGCCCTTAAGATTATTAGACAAGTCTAAAAGTCATCGAGCAATTCGAGTTTCCAAACGCATTGCGGAAGCGGATGCAGTTATACATGACATTTTGCTCTCGAGTTGCAGGAGGAGTAGTTCATCATCTATAGGCCAAACCTACAGGCTGCAATTGGCTCGTCAACCCTCCTCCACTTGTGCCAGATTAACGGTGTCATATGTGGATTTTCAGGGCATTAGCTTCTTCTACAGAAATTAAAAGAAAAGGTAAGGAAAAAGACAAAACTACTACAGAGCAAAACGAATTTCTTGAGAAATCTTTGAAAAAGTGAAGAAAAGAAAACATGCTTTTGGTCAACTTAGCAACTTGCACCAAAAAAAAAACTACTTAGCCCATTTTTCTACGGTCGTTTCCGTCAGCCCCAAAAATGTGGTGCTTTGCTCCTTTTGTACGTGGCTCGAACTCGTAATTAGTTATACAAACAGCAACATAATACTGTGGTGATCCATTGTCTCTATATCACAATTAAATACGTATGCATCAATAAATACGGGTTGATATTTTTATCTGGGGTTTCATTGCAAGTATTGTACAACAGTAGATATTGCATCTCTATTACGTATTCAGCTCCTTCCCCACATCACAGCAGCAGAGACGGGGAGGAGGAGGAGGACAAATCACTCACTATGTAATAGCTTTCATTCGAATCTACAGCTAGCTTAACTAGTAGACACTACAAGTAAGTATATTTGTTTGGTGTCTCGACAGTTTGACGTACTTGTAATCTAATAGTAATAATTGGTTATCATGTGTTGGTTTTATACAAGTAAATTTTTTATGGTGAACCCTTGGGTTTATGGTGTTGGGTGTAGATGTAATCCAAGTGAGCCTCAGCGATCATCCTTCTCTGTACACAAGCTTCATCCTTTCCATTGCATTCCTCCAGACCCATCAGCTGTAGAGATATAAAACCAAACATACATCTCAATCAACGATTGATTCAGACACAGAACAGGGTAATCAATTTAGTGGTCACAATAACACATAGCGAGAGAAACTAGGTATATTAATAACAATTACTGGGTAAATAAAATCGAATTGTAGTAGTGGTAGTTCTTACACTGGCCATGTCCTCGTCCGCTTTCGTCGTCGAGAATGAAGATGAAGCTGCATGTAGATTCCATGGACTGTTAATTACCATGGATTTTGTGACGAGTAGTAACTTAAATACTAATTAGCACTAGTGTGTGCATGATAATATGCAAGCATTAATGATTCATGAAGTTATAAAAAAGTGGAGGGAGAAATATTATCAGTGTTTTACCACCTTGATTGGTTGGTAGAAGACGAGCGGAAATTGATCGGGAGATGAGTAAAAAGAAGAGGAGGGAGGTGATGTATGTATAGTATCCTCTTCTCATCGTTCTTGTCAGAATCTGATTGGTTTTTCTTGGCCTTATTCTTGAGCGGCAGTGCAGATGGATATAGAGAAGATTTTACAGAACAGTGCGGCGTTGCGAGTTGTGGAGGAAGGAGTATCAATGGGGCAGTTGGGTTGTGGCATAAATAGCAGCAGCAGCAGCAGCTGGGGAAGAATTGGATAGAACAGGGGGGTTTTTTTTTTCCTATTTAACATAAAGATGAGCCAAATTTTTTAAGGCAGCAAAAGGCTATAATAAAATGAATTTCAATTTTTGGGTATCCAGTAGCATACTGATAAGTAATACGCCCTCCGTCCCACTTTGATAGTCCTGTTTTCTTTTTTCGTCTGTTCCAAATTGTAGTTCACTTTTCAATTAAAGAATGTAGCTGTATTTTAATTTTCCTAAAATACCCTTATTCAATATAAATTGTTGTTACTGTAAATCTACTCCATTTAATGAGAGTTAATTCTTTTTTTACCATCAATTCAAATTCTCATAAAGTTGTACTCTAATTAATGTGAGGGTATTTTAGAGAAATAGTTACCTAAATTGATTGTTCTAATAAAATTAACTATTTTTTTTTAAATTATGTGAAAAAAAAATCAAAACTATCAAAGTGAAACGGAGGAAGTAATAGTAGTACTAAAATCACAACAACAACAATGCCTTGCTGTCCCGGAAAAAAGAATTGATAAAATTCTATTCATAGGTTACTGATTATAAATATTGTTGTCAATATATATTGTCTTCTTTTGTCTTGTGACCGATGATGATAACTCAGAAGGGAGTGATTCAACGTGGTCGTTATCAAGGATTCATCGTTATGCGGCAAGTTCAGAAGAAGACATGAAAAATACTTTTTTTTTTTTTTTTGGGAAGAGAGGGTCCGAGTAATATAAAAATAGAAATGGTGAAGTAGTCAAAGCCTTAGACTAGCCGTAGCTGACAGCTGTTGTCCACGGCAACCCTCTGTCCACATAATTTAGTAGGATTGATTGATTACTACATATCATATGTTGGGATCAGTTGGCAATTCCTATTTCCTACACGCGTGTCACACTCAATCCTCTCTTAGAAAAGGAAAAGAACCACATTACCACGCCTCTAACTCTAAGACGAGTTTCCAGAAGTAAACAAGCTTTTGACTTGGGACTTGCAAATTCTCACGTATCAGTTCAGTGGTGCCATGAGGCACAACGCATGCTACTGTTGGATGCCTTTCCATTTGTTTTGCGAGCGTTTGGAAGTCGGCTCCTCCTACTCAACAACGTTACGTACAATAATAGGCCACAGCACCAGCCACAGCCATGCTTGGCGGCCAACTAACATCTAAATTATACTGTAGTTGCATGCCTGAAAGGAGGAGTTAGTTAGTGCAGCCATTGCAAATTACACATATATGGTTGCTTAAGTACGTGTATACGTACACTTTGTCCAGCATCCCAAGGCTTTAGTGAGTGAATCAAGTAGAAGAAGAAAAGCAAACAGCTTCCAGATTAGCAGCAAACAGCTCGTCATGCACATTGTAGAATTTAACGTAAACAAAATTTAACCAACAAACCTGCTCTTTGATGTTGATTGATTTCTCCAGTCCAAACATCAGAAATGGAATTTGATGCTCTGGTAAGGCTTTGAAGGAGCAAATTAATTATCATGCCTGATCGATCTCATCAACAGCGTACGTAGTAGTCCTCAGCCAATAAAGCAGAATTCCGAGGCTCTCCACACAAAACACATGACCCAAATTGACGAGAGTCGTGAACAAGTAAAATCAGCACCACTAACGTGTACTGGTCTTCTGAACTTTTCTACGACAACTTTCCAAAAAGCTTAAACAGAAAAAAAGTTCTTGTTTAGTAGCAGTCGTATTTCGTAGGGATTAGATCATGATCATCGCAAGGAAAAAGACAAGCTTGAAGTGGGCTAGATGGAAGAGGTTCACGCCACCAATCGAGAAACTACCGAGTAGACCGACGTGCATTATTTATTGATCGAGCTGCTGCGACTTGCGGCTGCGCCCCCAGCCTTATCACAGCACCAGTGCTCGGCGTTTATTAGGCAATATACCCATCAATCATGAAAAATACAACACGCATGCATGTGTCCTGTTTCGCAATCGAAATCAAGTCCATCCATCACCTGGAGATTTTCTGCCGTGTAATTAATTAAGCACGTCAACTGATGCCTCCTCATCAATTAATCATCCATTCGTCCTAATCCTGAAGAAGCACCTCATTTCTCATCACTTTTGTTGTAGATGATCCTTTCAGTATTGAAAATGTTTTGTGATGAGTGTGATTTACTAGTGCGTCTGTGGACAACGCGAATGGATACGAAAGAATCGTCTGGTCAGCCAGAAATTGTCGGCAGCCTAACCTCGAGAGATGCTACTTTTTTTTAACATAAATCATGCCACAGTATAATCTAGATTTTCCACACAATCTAAAGCTTCACGGGTTTCCTTAGTGAGAGAGTCAATTGTGGGGATTAGGAATTTCAACTCATGCATATATAATCACAGTGTTTAGTGATGTAAGTTGTAAGACAAGGACCATCCGATTGTTGAATTCGCGAAACCGGATGGCCCATCCATTTTTGGGTGCTTTAGCAAATAATTCATCCCCAAAAAAAAAAAAACCTCATTAACAGTGGTGGGTGTCAAGTGCAATCAATGCTGTCACCGGCTACTTTTGGCAGAAAACATGCGTTTTTGGCCTTGCACGTATCTTGTAACGTAGATATTAGAATCAACTAAGGACTTGTTTCCAAAAGGAAAAAAAAAAACAACTAAGGACTCAATCTAGTTAAAACTTCAAAGTCAACTATAGTCATAGACGAAGGTACGCTTTACGGTATCTATGAAAGGAATCTCAAACGTTGAGATGGCCGAGTTGGTCTAAGGCGCCAGATTAAGGTTCTGGTCCGAAAGGGCGTGGGTTCAAATCCCACTCTCAACACAATCTGTTGAAACCTTTTCCGTATTAAGCAAGGAATCTGCCCATGTCCGTTTTACACTTTTATGAAGAATCGAATCAACCCAACTAGCTGACAAGTTTATCCAGTTAGAGAATCGAAGGCCCATTAGACGCTCTGGCACCATTTGGACAAGGCCTTTTTCTTAGTATAAATGTGTTTCTTTGAAAAGCGTTGATTTCGATGGAGTCTCTCAGTTAAACAAAATCCTGCGAATTTACATTCATCCTGTAGCTATTGGATATTTCACTGTAATACCCTTGAAAAAACTTCCGCAAGACCGCCTTATAAGCACATTGGAAAAAAAAAGAAGCAAACAAACAAACCACGGATGCAATATCTTTTCCAGCTTAACTAGTCACCGTTGTGCATTTTTTCTTGCTAATGCGCTGGAGGAATTAGTTTGGATTATCCAAAAAATTTTATGCACAGGTTCGATGATGCGTCTAGAAGGAAAGTGACAGGTTAAAAAATTCTTGATTTCTTACGATAGAATATCTAGTTGATTTCATTCAACTCATCCGATTCGACGACTCTTTAAAAAAAAAAAAATAAGAATAATAATAATGGAAGCTTCTTCAACACAGCTTTTTTTCTTTTCTTGAAAAGCAAAGAGTTTTACATAGTTTGACCCACGCTCTTGCGAGTGTCATGACCTAATAAGCTTACTAATACCAGTAGCGTTTTATAGTTTCGGGAACAATAATGCTAACAAATTAAAATGCCTTTTTTTTTTTATAAAAAAAAAAATCTCTAAAACGGTTGGCTGTTGAATTACAAGTTGGGCAACCAGAATCTTCAACTGCCTAGCTATCTCCTTTTTTTTTCTTTTCAAAAGAAAAAAAAAAAACACGTTAAAGATACAGCCAGCAGATTTCGTGACTTGTGCGACTTTGTGATTTTAATCGTTCAACAGTTTGTGGTGATTATAACCCCAAAAAAAAAAAAAAAGACATCCAAATTGATGCTGTATAATAGTACTTGCAGCGCATGTACTTATTATTAAATATTAATTAAGAGCGTGGTAAATTAAACAAGTTGAGCCCAATGTCAACTTTCTGAAAACAAAATCCGGTCAATTATCATCGAACCACCTGTTTTATTGCCTCCCCACAGAGCATGTGAACACATGCCAAACAACAATTTTCAATTATTCGACGCAGATTTGTTGGATTAGAATAGAGGGGGCGAAACGAAATAAAAAGGATGGGAAGGTGCAGTTTGAGCAGCGGAGTTGAGACTACATTTTTAATACATGAACGGCATCAAGATTGATTGAATACTTGAGAGAAAGATGGCTGTTGCAGGGCTGCAGGTAGGGTCTGTTTGGTTGGACTTTGGACAATGTCAAACGCCACTTCAATACAACGTTCTAAGGTCAACATCAACCCCCATTGGTCCATCCCCATGTGGCGGCTATTAGCATTCCTCATTTAGCCCAACAAGGAAATAAGTACCTACTAGAATAACACAGAGACTTTTTTTTTTTTTTTTCCCTTTTTTAGTTTATACAATTACATAAAAGGAAAGTTTAGCGTTCGAAATACGGGAAAGAAAAGGCTATTCATCCGCAAAAATCACGAATATTTATTTTTTTCATCATCTGTGTTAAATGTCGACAGGATTACAATTGAATTTTACCAAAAGAGCAGAAAAGTGTGTCCGTCCAATTCATTTTTACCTTGACTGGATAGAGAAACAAAAAGTAATCTAAAACATGCAGAAGTAAGTTTGACCTGAATGGGGTGTTAATAGTGGATAGATAGAGCAGCCCTTTTGACTTTGCAGGTGAAAAAATTAATGCATGCAGAGAATGGGATGCAATGCGGTGCCGGTGCGGACTGGACGCCATCCTTCCTTCCATCCTTCAGCCAACACACACAACAGAACGACTTAATAAAAATTTCGACGGAAATTGAATGGTTGCGCTAGTTAGTAGCCCAACCTAACCGCTGCTGCCACTTGCTTTCTTTCTAGAATCCCAACCGCCTAAATGCTTCATAATGCCCGCCTCCTACGGTTTTTTTTTTCTTTTCCTAAAACGAAATAAACGAAAAGAAAGGGAGCCTCGCGACCACACCAAACTACCTTATCGAAAAAGCATAAAATAAAATAACACGAGGATAACATTTTTATACATTGTTAATATATTATTTTTTTTACATTAACAGATTTAGATCATAGCATATGACATAAAAATTTAAATTTCACATCATGTACATGCGGCATACATTTAAAGTTGTTAACCTAAATAATCATGACACAATCAATGTATAAAAAAGTTAATACATAATATAATATATATAACATAAAGATGTATATAACTAATGGAGTCGGCTCAGTGGTCAAGGATGCAAATGGAAATGAGAGGAGTGCAAGGAGGAACGGGAGGGTATATATATATATATCATATCATATCATATAAGGTTCTGTTTGGATTAGGGGTGTCAAATAAAATCATTTAATTAATTTTACCCATACCCGTTCATTACCCATTTATAACCATTTAATAAATGGATATAATTGGGTAACCCATCTAACCCATTTAACTTACATTCCCAAACTTCTTGTATTTTCCATTTTCACCGTCAATCTTCTTCTCCTCCCCACCAGCAAGCCCACTGCTTCCCTCCCCCCCTCTTTCTTCCTCCAGTGTTTGTTTCCCCCATCTCTTATCCCCGTCCTTGCTTAATAGAAGGTTTTTGTCCCTTTCATGTCCGATTCCTGAGCTGATCTATGAATAAACCAGCGGTGTCTTGAAGATTTTCTCAGAGAATGTTAAGAGTCTGATATGCCCACTTGGACTGCATTTTCGCTCTAATGAAAAAGTCTGAGCTGAGTTGATCCAAGGTTCTTTTGGTATGCTATATTATTCTTTTGTGCCTTCTCTCTGAATTAGGCTAAGTTCACCCGATAATCTGGTATGTGGCATCTGGTAACTTTGGAAGGCTAATAATGGTATAATTAATTTCAGGGTTATCTAATTAAGTTCGGTTTTGCAGATTGCTGAATCTAATTAAATATTGCACCGTAGTATGTTACCATTCTTAAGTTTTTTGACATCTTGGACTGGTTAAATGATTGTTTCGCTTACCTTTGTTTGCAGATTGCATGAGATTTTATTTAGTAGAAAGCTTTCTAGATTTATGGCTGGACCAAATTGACATACTTGGTAAAAAAAAGAAGGCAATAATTGTTAAATGTGCTTGTCTAGCAAAAACAATCACTGTATTGGTTCTACCACTACCGTGATTGTGATCAATTTTTTCATCCTAGGTGCATTTGCCTGCTTGACCAATATCCAAATGTCAAATTCGGGGATTCCTTTCAAGTTGAAATTCACCCTCGTGATCCTGCGGCAAATGTTTGGATGGTTATACAGTCTTCAAATGTTTCCAATGTAATTTTCATCCGTGTCTGCAATGCATACGTGATATAATATATAAGTCCTAGCTCTGTTATTTTTGCTCATCATGTTGGCGGGGCCATATGATAAAAAGTTTTCCACAGCTACACTTAATACTTCCAATTCTTGAGATCAATGTTGCAGAAATATCAGATGAGGTGTATAAAGCTGGAAGGCTGAGAGTCTTAGACAGGAAAATATCAGATGAGGTGTACAAAGTCGGTAGTATAGATAACAGAAATGCCATCCCATCATGATCCAACAGATGAGTTGTCAGAGCACATTTAGGAACAATGTTCTTATACAAGCCATGAGCCTACCAATATAGATGAGTTGATCTAAGGTTCTTCTAAGCGTTCGAGACAGCTCACGTCATTGATTTGGAGCACATTTAGGAACAATGTTTTTATACAAGCCATGAGCCTACCAATATAGATGAGTTGATCCAAGGTTCTTCTAAGCGTTCGAGACAGTTCACATCATTGATTTGGAAGGAATTTGAAATATTGTGTGTTGAACCATATGGTTCACAAAGAGCACAATGTAAATGGTGCAAGTGTGATTATGCATGCGGTGGAACAATCGGAACAAGCAACTTATGGCGTCATCTTTCAAATTGTACTAAGCGTGGACAATCTGATTTTGAAGAACGGTCTCCACTTGACCAAGGAATTTATCGGGAAAAGATGGGAATTGCTATTGTGAAGCATAACCATCCTTATAGACTGGTGGAGCAAGAAGGAATTCAGGACTTGTGTGTATACTTAAATTCAGATGCTTTACCCATTTCGAGAAACACGACAAATGCTGATATTGAAAAGATGTACAAAAAAGAAAAAGAAAAACTAAAAATAGAATTAAATTCAATTTCAAGTCGAATTTGCCTTACTGCAGACTTGTGGACATCTATTGCAATAGATGGGTATTTGGCATTGACGACTCATTTCGTGGATGAAGATTGGATTTTACAAAAGAGGGTTCTAAATTTTCACCACATGCCACCACCACATGGTGATCCAATATTAGCTGAAAAAGTTATAGATTTATTGAGAGATTGGGCTGTTGAAAAAAAAGTTTTTACTATCACATTGGATAACGCATCTTACAATGATGGTATGGTGAATCTGTTGAAGCAGCATTTGAGGCTAAGAAATACACTATTTTGTGAGGGTGAATTTTTTCATGTAAGATGCAGTGCACATGTGCTAAATTTGATTATCCAAAACGGTGTCAAAGTTATTTCCAAACCATTCTCAAAGATCCGAGAGTGTGTGAAATATATCAGAGTTAGTGAATCAAGAAAGTTGAAATTTGCAGAGTGTATTGTTCAAGTTTCTTTGCCATGAATAAGAGGGTGCATCAAGATGTCCCAACCAGATGGAACTCTACATTTGTGATGCTGGATAGTGCACTTGAATATAAGCTTGCCTTTCATCAGTTGCATGTGATTGATTGCAACTTCTGCAGATTTTACCCAACTGAAGAAGAATGGCTTAAGGTGCAGAAAATTACAACACTGTTGAGGCCTTTTTATGACCTGACCACCTTTTTTTGGGGGACTAACTATCCAACTGCAAATTTGTATTTTCACGGTGTTTGAAAAATTCAAAAAGTTATCACGGAAGAGGTCAATAATTTAGACATTGAAGTAAGTGAAATGGCCAAGCAAATGAAACTGAAATTTGAGAAGTATTGGAAATGTTATAGCTTGGTTTTGAATTTTACCATCATTTTGGATCCGCGCTTTAAAATGGATTATGTGGTGTATGCTTTTAAGAAGCTATATCCTTTTGATTATGAAGAACGTGCTAAGGAAGTTCGGGATAAATTTTATTTACTATTTGAGAAGTACGAGAATACTTTTGATGGGGATTTGCTAGATGGATCAATAACAGGCTGCTCTGGTGGTGATTTGGGCAATGACAATGATGATTTTGCTGAATTTGAGAGTCAACAACATGCAAACAAGAGGAATAAGTCACAAATAGACTCTTATTTGGATGATACTCGACTCTTTTCAACTCAAGAATTGGACGTTCTCAATTTTTGGCCATGTAACCTTTCACTGCTCTATTAGTTATTCGTATTTATTGAAAATTTGTCTTTGTTTGTATGCTAAATGAAGTGATTGCTAGTCTTCATCAGGATTTTTAACTATTTTTGATGTTAAGTATTTTTGTTTTATTTATTATATGTATTTGTTGGTTTTATCTTATCGCTTTATTTCCTTGTAATTTATTAATTTGATCATTTTTTAGCATCATCAATTTATGACAAATTTTAGCTTCCTTTCTTACCTTTTCAAATGAAATTTTAAATTTATAAATGAAAAAATACTAGGGGTTCAAAGTTTTGGATTAATTTTTTTTTTAACTTTCATATTATTTAGTCCAAATTTTTAGATTCTCATCATTCAATTATTAAATAATATGTAATTTTGCGACATAGTATGCGGATGGAAAAAAAATTGATAATTAGACTTATTGGCATAATAAGCAAATATTTAAAATTAATGATGGGTGTAAAATGGTATAAATTGATAATTTAGTTTACAAAATGAATTTATATGAGTTTGTAAAAAATTAGAATAAATGGGTTATAAATGGATAATTGGGTTACCGAACTAATTTTTTTATTTACCCATTTATATCCATTTAATTAAATAAATATAAATAGATTGACTCATTTATACCCATTACACATTTTATCTGATCCAAATTCTCCCAAATCACTCATTTTGCCATCTCTAATTTGGATTACAAATGTGATTGTAAAATATGTTATAAGAGAATACATTTTACAAAAACTATCAATCCAAACAGCTCCGCGTTGTAGCCCAAAAAGATTCTCATTCTTCCTGGAATGAGATGTTGTATGGCAAAACAATGGGTTACGTGCGAGCACAGTGCAGCCGGCAGGGCTTGAATCGAGTCTCAAAGGAAAAATGCTTTACGCCAGACCACAGCCTTCCTGTTGTTCTAGCACTAAAAAGGAAATGCGCCCACCTGAAAGCTAACCTGCATCACCACAAATCTCGTTTGTATCTCCCACAAATAAAATATTGACCTTTAACGTTATCATGCAACGTAAATTAATCATTATCTCTTGACTTTTTTTACTACTATTTGTTTAATACCCTACACAGCAGTAGTGGTGGTAAGCTAACTCTTCATTATGGTCTACCGCCCTGCGCAGCACCAGGTCTTATATAAACGCGCCTGAACTGCTAGCGATTTGTTTGTTGTATTAGTATTTCCCCCGCCATCCAGACAAGGAGGTCTTCCGGGGTTCATGCACAGCTTTTGGTGCTTTCATGGCTTCTCTTCTTCTTCACGCTTAGTCTGATGTAATAGTAATACTACTCTACTACTGCTCCACATTAATCGAACACACGATTCATCGTCACCTCAGTCACTCGTTCGAACATGAACATGACTGAGCGGCTGCGGCTGCGGCTGCGGCTGCGGCTGCGGCTGCTCACCCTCCTGTATGTGATTTCATGTACCATCCTCAATACTTGGTCAGTGGTTCGAGCCTCCACCAGCCAAGATCATTTGACCAGCGGTTTTAAAGCCACTCCAAATCCAGCTGTCTCAACTTTCCAGCCCATCCTCACCGATTCCACGGGTAACTACTCGCTGGGCTTCCTCCGTCTCAACAAAACTCAGCTCACCCTCGCCGTCGTCCACGTTCTGTCCTCCGAAACCATATGGCACGCCAACATAACTCGATTGCCAGGATGGTCCGATCCTACTCAGCTCACCTTCAACGGCAGCCTTGTAGTGTCGGATCCTCGGTCCGGGGTGTTTTGGTCGACCTATACGGATGGAGACCGTGTTTGGCTGTCCAACACTTCAAATCTCCAAGTTGAGACGTCCGACGGCTCCGCCTTATGGCAGAGTTTTGATTTTCCGACGGATACCCTCGTCGAGAATCAGAATTTCACCAGTAAAATGTCCCTCGTTTCTTCCAACGGGATATACTCCATGCGGCTGGGACAAGATTTCATGGGGCTGTACGCGAAGTTCAAGTCCGGGTCGGATCCGGGGCAGATATACTTGAAACGCAGGGCGATGCAAGCAAAAGCGGAAATAGTCCAAGGTCAACCCATTTATGCAGTGGTCGAGTCTGACGGGTTCCTGGGCATGTACCAGAACGGGACAACCCCGGTCGACGTTCAATCATTCAGCAGTTATCAGCAACCCGTGTCCGGAGTGAGGCGGGTGCGGATGGAGACAGACGGGAATCTAAAGGGATATTTCTGGACGGGGTCGAGTTGGATCCTGGACTACCAGGCGGTATCCGACCCGTGTGAATTGCCCTGCTCATGCGGGCCATACGGGCTGTGCCAACCGGGAAAGGGATGCGGCTGTCTAAACAACAACGAGACGGAGCCCCAAACCGGGCGGTGCGTGTCACCGGGGAATCACAATCTGGTTGACTTTTGCAGCGCCTACGATAACAAGTACAAAGCGCTGAGAAGCAGCGGGGTGGACCTGCCCTACAAGGAACTGATGGGGTACCAAATCATGGAGAATTTCCAGGAATGCGAGAATGCATGCGAACGAAATTGCACGTGTTGGGGTGCGGTGTACAGGAACACCTCTGGGTTCTGTTACATCTTAGATTATCCCATACAGACGCTAGTGCGGGTGGCGGATGAATCCAAAATGGGCTACTTTAAGGTGAGCGAGGGTGTAGGGAAAGGGAAGATGGACGTGGGAGTAGGAGTTGGGGTGGGGGTGTTGTGTGGGGCCATTTTGGTAATTGGCGGGGGTTTAGTGGGGTATGGGTGGTATAGGATGAGGAGGGGTAAACAGAGGGGGGTGAGCGGCTACGTAAAAGAGGAGGGCATAATAGGTGGTGGGGTCGGACCATACAAGGATTTGGGAGCTGCCAGTTTTAGGTCAGTTGAACTATCTGCGAGATGACGTAAGGGATGATGGCATTGGGCATTGGCTGGATTGGGTCTTTTTCAACTTGGGCTCAAAAAGCTTTTAAGTTCATTGGAGTGGTGGTACAAATACTTTGTGGGACCGGCAGATCCGTTGGGTCATTGTTGGGGGGTGGACTTTTTATCTCTCCAGCTTTTGGGGGTCCCACAGTGCTATCCTTGGAGGAGGGGGAGGCTCGGAGAGACGCTGGGAGCTGATGATTTTCTCCTCGAAAACCAAAATTAGATCACGAAGCCAAAACGGACAAAAAATGCGATTTTTATTGCGGGATTTGATGTTCCAATCATTCAATCAAAGTGGATCTCGTGTATTCGGTTTGTGGAATAATGCCAGTTTGCTTCGCAAAATTACTAGCATACAATAATGACAGCATCTGTAATTCCATTTTGCGTTTTTTGGTCCAACGCCACTTAATAGTCAGCTGATGGATGGTGCATTACAACGTAAGCAACTGTTTTTTTGGATGCCATGTGCTTCCATTTGGCAGTTTTGTGTTTGAGTTGTATTTTTTTAGAGTTTTTTTTGGTAAAAAATGTATTGTAGCGTTTTGATATATATATATATATGAGATAAAAAAGTGATTGAAAAATGTATTAACGAACAACATAGAAATTTTTTGATGTAAAATCTCTTTCCAAACAAGACTAGTTCCATAGGCAAGCTCTTTTGTGGGTTTTTTTTTTTTTTTTGATAGTTGATGTCTTTTTATATGGTTAAATCTTTCAAGGGACTCGATTTTTTTTCTAATAAATTCTCTTACTGTTCATATTACTACTTAGATATGGATAGATATTCTTTTTATTTTGATCAAACCATGTAACACATGTGGGCATGTAATATGAGAAACATTTTTTGTCCTCTTTCAATTGAATAAAGACTCCGACCCTTAGAAAAACGACAAAAAAGGAAGAGTAAACGCAATGTGTGCGTTTAACTAAAAGAGAAAACGGCAGAATTAGTCCCTCACATATTGTGCTTTTAAAATGATGCAAATTAGTCTCTTGGATAAGTAAAGCACACCATTTTAGTCCTAAAACCCATTTCAGGTAACTTTTTTGGATTGAAACAGCCACGTCACCATCCATGATAAAATTTTCAGGGCAAAAAATACCTCACATACGCAATCCCGCACAAATACACCGCACTCTAATCTATCTGTTTAAGCACTATTAGAATTAACTAATTGAATGATTAATTGATGCTTTTCTTTTCGAGAAAATTAAAAAAAATATATTAGTTTACAAATCTTCTATATTGTATAACATAATCCAATGAAGAAATATGCAAACAAATTTAAAAAAAAAAAAAAAAAAACCAAATGGGCCTTGTTGTGATTTGCTTGACAAAAACCTGGGCGCAACCCTCCATGTAAGCATGACAAAAATGGTCCCCGTTTTGGGCTTGGGCTTGGCCCTTGAGGTGTGAACCCAACTGACAGGGCCCAGGGCATCCTAATTTTGTGTTTATGTCCAAATAATTAATAAATAATAAAAAGAATAAAATGGCACCCCAGGTTACCCGCTACTAAGTGCAAACTGCTAGGCGCTAGCATTTAGAATTCTGTGGTTTCCCCTAATGTGGGTTGAGCAAATTGCCTGAGTATTTGAAAATCATTTTTTAAATTTGCAGCCATCTGCTAGTTCATCACGTATGGTACAGCAGGACTTGGAAGGTTTTCAGGCAGGGCTTGGACATATCCTGCTAGTTTGGTTATTCAGAGGATTGTCAAAGATCTACGTGGCATTATTTTGGAGCGGAAGCAGGTGTACACAAGCCAAGCAAAATGCTCAGCTTTGTATTTGACCGTTGAGTTGGGAATTCCATTTCCTGTTTTGTAAGTCCTGATACTCTTGTACTATTAGGTTTACACTTGTATATTGTTAGTTACTTTACTTTACTGATTTGAGTTCTCTTCCTTTTGATGTAGGGTTTCATATGAGTTGAGTCGAGCTGATGTCAAACCGCGAATTGAGCTCAGTCAACATCGAGTTCGAGTTGATCAAATCGAATTTAAAAATAATCAATTCGTTAACTAGTTAATTGACTTGATTATATATATATATAATATTTATTTATTTATTTTTATTTTTATAGTGAAATTACATATATATTTCTAATAAGAAAAAGTACTATTTTATTCATTTTTTAAAATATCATTTTTTTAACCTCAAGTTTGAGCTTTACATTTGAGAGCTCATTGAGATCGAAATCGAGTTCGAACTTGATAAAATTAAGTCGAGATTCAATTCGACTAGATTAAAACTCGATTCGATTTGGTTTGTTTACAACCCTATTTTGATGTACTGGACTAGGGACCAAGGGGCATGACCTTCATTGGTGTACACTTTCTTGCTTAGTAATGAGAAGTTCACGAAGCTTAACCTCCCCACCCCCTTGCCCATCCCCATCCCCATCCCCAGCCAAAATAAAAAATGGTGAATTATGATGGAGTGAGTTTCACAATGCTTGTTGCAGGAGTCAATAATCAAACTGAATTATGTTCTTTTTGTGGGTTTGACTCCGTAGTTTGCTCCACCCCCAACCTTCAGTTTCTTTTTCTGGTCTCGGTGGTTTGGGAGCCAATTCAAGAAAGCAAAATCCTAGATGACAGATAGAAAGTCATCAAATTCTATGATTTTGCCTCCTTCCATTAAACTACCAATATGCATTATTCTGCAACACTTGATTCCTGTTGTTTCATGACAAAATTCAACTGAACTTTTTATTATTGAAAGAGGTGCAGTGATGAATGAGAACAGGTAGAGGGAGAGAGGTTATGTGATACCCCGTCCCGCATTGGAACAGTGACGTGATATAAATAAAAATACTCCATCATGGGCTTGCAGCCGGGGGCTGCATCTTCTACTCTTGACATATGATTGATTACCAATAATAATGCTTCTTACATTTTCCTATGGGTTTATGCGCAATTGGAAAAGCTGCTGGACAACTTTTACTTCTATAAGTAGCAACAGTTGCAGACGAGGAGTTGAGTCATTTCTTTAGATACTCAATGGTTAGCATTCGAAGGATAAATCCCGACAATTACAGCCGAGACCAATTAGTGTGCTGGCTGTCCACTAATCCGACCAGAGAGTGATTCACTGGGAGAAACGAACATTATTATTAATTAGACAGACTCGGAGAGAAGAATAGTGTAAGCCTTTTTGAGTCTTGACTCGGACCTGCTCCGTGTCATGTGATGTAAGAAATCGCAAGATTCCCAGTTTCATCCAGTTGTATGATGACGAATTATTAGGTACTCGTCTTCTACCTAAACATAATAGCCATGGGCTTGCAAAAAAATGTACTAATAAACAAGTTCGCCCCAGGCATCCGTTCTTGCTCGTGGGTTTTCTGATCAAAAGGCGCTTCTTGTAACTTTAAAATGTTTTGGTTAGTAATATTATTATTATTCAATTAACAATTATTACTAAAATCATCGTATTCCTGGTCCTTTTGAGGCTGCTCCTCAAAATTGCTCCAAAACATTCTTCTTCTTCAGGTCTCAGCAATTGGACATCCACCATTAGTGCAGGCGTAGCTCTGCATCGTTGATCCAATACAACACAACAGTCCACTTGAGCCTTTGCTCAGAATTTGCCCTCCAACTATTAGCCAGACTAGTAGAGTGCAATTTATTCGCCATGATTATTGGCTGATCTCTAGTTTTTGGTCCCCGATAGGTTGCTTCGTTCTCATGCACGCAGTTTACTCTTTCTTTGTTGGCTTGTTTTCAAGATGATTAATTTGGTCTTTCTCAAAATATGTACCATTTCAGATTTGATCGAAGCGATGTCTAGTTTTGTGCCTTGTCTAGTCCATTCAGTTGTCATCACTTGCTATCAAACAGTTGGAAAATAGAAAATCGAATCCATAAACAATTGAAAACGAGACGAGCTCAATCTGGAATTGAAATAAATCAGATGTGATTTTGTTGAATCTCTCTAAAATCCTACACCCCCCCCCCCCCAAAAAAAAAACTTTTACCACTCATTTGCTGTTGAACGAATTCCAGCAACCATAGTGATGAAAATTCTTTTTTATCAAAAAAAAAAGAGCCAGATATAAACGCAATACGCTTCAAAAAGGATTGTCTGAGAGAGAAAGTTGAGAGGGGCACGATTCATCTTGGTAGGAGTACGAAAATCATAGTTTTTTTTTTTTTTTCCAAAACGTTAGCTTTTACGAAAATCATAGTTGTGGTTGGATAGTTTGGGTTGGGGGCATTTTTTTATTTAATATTTTTTTAGTTGATTAGGAGGTTCTAAAACTTGTAAGGAAAATAGGAAAAGAAAAAGTTTGAGAGTTAAATAAAAAATTTCATTTTCAATTCACTAATATCTCTACCAACTAAACTGTGTGTTGAAAACTTTTATGCTTAATATACAACTTGATGACTTGTTTGTTTCCAGATAATTCACAAGTCATCTTAAAAAATAGTAGTGATTGCTCGATTGTTAGAAAACCTTAATCGATTTTAAGATATTATTGCCAACCGGACATGACTTGCCTTTCCTCGAAGGAAAAATGATAGTGAACTAGACAAGACTAGAAGAACGCAGACATCCTTTGGCTAGAAAAAAAATAACATCTGTGTAAGAGGGAGTGTGAAAATCAAGTTGTCGTCCAAAAGTGAAGCTAGATTTTGACAGCAATCTTCATGATTTGAGCTTTTAATTATTGTCCTTATTTTTCTTGGTTAAGTTATTGTCCGTATTTTTTTAATTATTGTCTTCATTAGCTGTATCTAAGACTGCAAACGAATTAAGCCACACCCGCAAGTCAAACTCGAACTTGAATTCGAATTCAAAAATACTAAACTCATTAGTTCGCGAGTCGGATCCAGTTCGATTATATATATATATATATATATATATATATATATATATATATATATATATATGTGTGTATTTTATTTTAATAATAAAATTACATACATGTTCTTAATATTTTAATATTTATTAAAAATTATTATTTTATTTATTTTAAGAATAAATAAAATTATTTTTTTAAGCTCAAATTTGAGTAGAACTCGAGTTCGAACTTGAAATTTTGAACTTCACGTGCTCGAATTCGAGTTCCGTAAAATTATGTTAAGATTCGATGCGATTAGGTCGAATCCCGATTCGATTCATCTCAACTCATTTTGCACAGCTAGCTGCATCCGTTAAGTTATTAGCACCAAGAAATTTAAGAAAGTGGGATAGGAAGCAACGTCTGATAAAAGCATTTTCCCCGATAAATTTCCATCCTTGAGAGACATAATTCGTGTTCTTAGATGCCGCATTACGTGTTCAAATTTGTACTTTCCTCCTTGCTCTTTCTGTGGTCTGTGGATAATAAACTGGCTACATGGAAGAGGAGAAGATTAACCACATTGAGCAGAACCATTGGTTTTTGTTGGAGTTGGTTTGGCCTCTCAAGTTTTAACTTGACTGGTGGTTGATTCACTGCATCTCATTATAGACGACAGCAATAGGCATGTACAAATCAAAGTCGCTTGCTTACCAACTAAGCTAACCAACTTTCCTCCAATTGCACCCTGAAAACACAACACATGTCAGTTGTATCCACTTACAATCCTCAGACACGACTGTCATGTTGTCACTCATCCCTTCTGAAAGAGTGGGTGGTTTTTGATAAATCAGGCATTTATGGTACTGGGGAATCCCTTAGTTTTGATTTCCACTAAAAGCGACGGTCCCGTCCTATTGTTAATGTTATATTTCACATTTTGAATTGTTATTTTTATGAATTTTTATAAAAAATATATTATAATGATTAGATATATGTCAAATAAAAAAATAATTTATAATATATTTATAAAAAGCGTACAAATTTTTCGATGAAAAAATCACAATCCCAACAAATGTGTGCGTCACTAAATAATTTTTTCCTTCCAAACGCCCCAATTGCGCTCGTACGAGATACTGAAAATGGGATGAAGTAACTCAAGTGGGACTCAAATCAGAGAAGTTCCGACGTGCGAATTAGTTTGGTGCGTACCATGCAAAACCCATGTCCGATGACTACTTATTTGTGCGTGTTTCACACGTCCCTTGGTGAGTACCAAACTTTCATTTCATCTACGCTTGAGATGGGACCCAACAAGTTTGATTCCTTGGAGTCGATGTGACTTGATGCCATTTTCAATCAGGGCAATGTTGGCAGCAACATTTCCCATATAGACAGATACCAATTGACGCACTGTGGAAAAAAGACAAAGTCCTATTAAGGCTATTTAGAGTTGGAATGGATGGATGTGCATTGTTAATGTTTTGAAAAAAAAAAAAAAAAAAAAAGAGGATAAAAAGTTGTCCCTAATTTTTTTAGAGCCAGAGAGTTTATGGAGACAAATTGGCTTTTTTTCTTTTCTTTTCTCCTTTCTTCTAAACACTTTGTTGTGCTTCTTGTCGCGCCCCGCACTCCAGTATCTTTTGCCCGGCAGAAAACGGACCTGAATGAACGATGAACATCATCAATTTTTTTTCGACATCGACAATAATTTCCTCTGCACCTATTTCTATTCCTGCTTTATCCTATTCTAAGAAGGGATTAATTGAACTAATGAAGGGATCGAATCACTGTCGAATCAAACAAATACACTATACACAATCTAATTTAACAATTGACGGGAGGCATTAAAGGTTAGGTGGTGGCCTGTAACGTTAGTTTTGATCCTCAATGCTGGAGTAGTTTTGATCCTGTAACGTTAGTTGCAGTTGATAGCCGTCCCAAGTGTTAGTATTAATATTTGGGCCCAACTCTCTCCATCGTGATGTTAACATGATTCGCAGAACATGCATTTTCGAAGCGTCAGTCAATCGATCCTCATCGGGTTAAAAATGTCATTGCATTTAATTTCAAGCACTGCATTTTAGGCGTCAAAAGACGGAAATTTCTATGGTCAGTTTAAGTTGCTATTTCTTCCATACTCATTTCTCAATTACGATACTAATTTAAGTATTCAACGCCTTAAAGCCGTTCATTTAGCGGTTAAAAATGATTATTTCACTATCAGACGGTAGATTTAAGACGAGGGTATAACCGTCGGATAAGTAGAATCTCAATTTCTTGAGGAAAAAACTTTTAAAACAACAGCAACAAAAATAAAAAATTAACGGTAATCTGAACCAATATTAAAGAGAAACAACTAATGGCCAAATAGGAACAGTCAGGATCCGACAATTGGATTTTAATTATTGTCATTAGCCTTTAGATATATGTATGATAAGAAGAAAATAGACGTAACAACCTAATCTTTACTTGCTCTTCCCCTTCTAGCGTGGATTGCATATGATTGGTTGGTTCAAGGATGCCTTATTAACAATACTAAGATCCTTTGTTTTAAGTAATCCTTAGAATCAGATCCACCCAGTCAAAACAAATAAAAAAAATACATCAATCCTTTTCGCTTGTGCACATAATTCATGTATTTCCATTGTAATGCCACAGTTACATAGGAACTGTCGCTGAAAACGTTGTGAAGTGAATCAACTATTTCTGACCTGCATTAGTGCGGCCTTCCATTTCTTCTGCCAAGATATGCACTTCTAGTCTAGTAACTATTAGGAAATGGAAAGGAAGAGTGCTTTGTTAACCCGGAAAGACCGTATTAAATGTTAGATGACCTGGCCTTAAGCTGGGTTTTACTGCTCTTCTTCATGATTGGCCCCTTCATTTCGCTTCGCTGCTTTGGTTAATTTCAGTTACAAGAAGTCTGTGAGGAAGAACTGTTTGGCAGAAGAAAGGCATATCTACAAATCCCAATCTTCCTTTTCCTTCTTCCCGCAGCAAAGGATACACATAAAACCCTCCTCCGCTTCTTTCCCATAGACCCCAGACAACAGACAAGTACATCACAATTCTGGCGGAATATTTTGGAGGGCCAGCTGCTTCTGTCGGAGTATTGGTTAAAATCTTGGTAGGGTTCTTTTGTCCAAAATGAGAAGTATTACTACCTGTTACAGTGAGCATTCAATCAAGGTTTCGAATTCGTATTGTTCAGGGCCTTCCGGTCAGCCTTACCTCTCCCCTGGCTTGATTCCTTCGGTTCAAAATTCGGTTACTTGTCTGTACAAAGTCAAACTCTCGGCTGAAAAGCACTTCTTCATCAAAATCACATGGTGCGACTCAGTAGGCCAAGGCTTCTCAATTGGTATTGGGGAGGATACCCGTTCTCTTTCCAAATTCAGCAGAAATTCCAGGCAATTCAAGAAGGTCAAAGGCACAAAAGCCTTCGAATGCTGCGATTCAAGAATCGAAGTGCTCTGGGATCTGTCTCAGGCTACGTTTGACATTGGCCCTGAGCCGGTCAATGGATATTATGTTACGGTTTGGGTCGATTCTGAATTAAGTCTAATTCTTGGAGACATGGAAGAAGAATTAGACGTGAGAAAAAGCACGTCCGGCGTACAATTGCCAAAATTTTCATTGCTTTCCCGGAGCGAACATTTCTCAGGGAATGCCCTGTATTCAACCAAGGCTCAGTTTTGCGACGCGGGAACATGTCATGACATAGTGATCAAGTGCGTTCGTGAAGACACGGGATCAAAGGATTCGGAATTATCTGTGACTATTGATAAGAAGAATGTCATTCACGTGAAGAGGTTGCAGTGGAATTTTAGGGGAAATCAGACAATTTTTGTGGATGGACTATTGGTGGATATGATGTGGGATGTTCACGACTGGTTTTTCAATCCGTCACCTGGATATGCTGTCTTCATGTTTAGGACGAGAAGCGGGCTGGATAGCAGATTGTGGTTGGAGGAGAAAATGTTGGAGCAGAAGGAACAAGAGAAAGGTGGCTTCTCTTTGTTGATCTGTGCCCGTAAGACCTCTGACTAACTGATTTTCCTCCTCCTCAGTTGCCATTCTATCTCCATACTATTGGGATCCTTTTTCTCACCGTGTGTTTTTTGCCACGCAAACTTTAGCTTTGTAGATTAATTAAGCATCAAAAAGAATTATACGACGATATATAGCAGTTAGGAGACCAAAGAAAATGAGATTGATTTGCAGATATTGCCGTTACACTACCATAGACATGGCTCCTTCCCATGGATTGGACCTTGTAGTTCCTGCTCTGTCTCTGTGATGAAACGGATCATTCCCCAACATATAATTTACGGGAATGATTCTCAATTGTACAGCTTTTACTCAATTTCCTTTGATTTTACGAAGATGATTGTTCAATGGAGTGCAGGGTTTATGGTCCCTCTTTCCCTTCAAGGTTGGACGTTGCATGCTAGAAAGTTGCTTCCTTTCGTTATTGCCAATTTCCCTCTGTCAGCAAATCATCCTTGCACTTGTAAGATTTAATCTAAAATCAAGCAGAAATTTATGAACCCCTTAATCCAGAATTGAGAAGTTTTCTTTCGCAAGTACTCCTGGTCTGCAGAAGTTTAGGAGTGTAATTTGGTTGCTAAGGAGTCGTAAAACTTAGCCACTCCATTTGACAGCAAAGGGTGCCGGACCTGAACTTTTTGGCTGTCCAGTCTGCAATACTTTTCCGGGAGCTGGGTAGTGTCTATGATCTAAAGCTGCGAGTTTTGCCAACATATATAAAAACAAGAAAGGCCGAAAAAAGAGACAGAATATACGCGTAAACCACCGGTGACTAGAGAGCTATCCTTGCGTCGTGTGAGCAACAGGTAAAGTATGCATTGGCCAAGTGTTAGCAAAAGTAATGCTGAGAAAACATTCTGGACACCAAAGTATGTTGGCTGCACCATTTTTTTTTTTTTTTTTTATAATGGGCGGGCCCAAAAAAAAAAAAAAAAAAACCTTTTCTCTCTTTTCTTTTTTGGAAGGATAATTGCAGAGGGCTTATAATAAAAACAGAGCGGAACTAAAAGGCCAATTCTTTTTTGAAAGACTGTAAAAGTTCTCTTCTGATAATGAAATGACTCTAAAAATCCTTTCCGTAACACTAAAGTGACTCTAGTGATGCAGATCATTTCTCTCCTTGATTGCATTTAGAAAAAAGAACAGTAGTGCTTCTTCTCCGAACTGACTCGAATATCAAGTGTCTGGTTGATGAAGTTAGACCCAAGTCAATTTTTTTCTCCGATTAACCCTATCCTGTGGTCCTGTCTTTTCATATGCTCCTTGGCAACTAATCGAGAGATTAGAATTTAAACACTTCATCCAACTCTCTCCCAGATCAGCCAATTTTGGAACCCCCCCAAAAACAGGCTGCTCACCTTCCCATGACTGCGTTCAACGATCCCAACCTTTCCCATTCAATCACTTTCTGGAGAGTTAAACAGTTGAGACCAATATAGTAGCTTGCGTATCACTTTGGTGAAAGCTCTTTCGTCGCTATCCATTTAGGACTTACCGGCCATCTCAATTTAATGCTTCAGCCGCTCGTCACCGTTTTGACTCGGAAGGTTTATTTTTGGCTGCGTAATGTGTAGGTAGATAGCCAACATCCTATTGACTTATTCCTCCAATTTGAACTTCTCTGCAATTAAATTGCCTAATGGGGAGCGAGGTTGTGATTTTCACATTCGAATTTTGAATGGCTTATATACTTTTGGAATAAAATTTAAAACACGTAATCACATATATATATATATATATGTATATATATTGTTTTATAACTATTATTGTAACTTTTTTTTTTTCTACGAAGGTGGTATTCAAATTTAGCCGGACTAATCCATCTCTTGACTTGCAATTGTACGTAGAATCCTTGGATCCATACTCCATTTAAGTGTCAATACTAGGACAAGTCAGACCCTTCAAAATAATACTACTATATTTCTTTATCAAAACGACATGTTTATCAAGTGTCAATGCTAGGAAAAGTCAGATGCTTCACAGACATTCAGAAATAGTCGCCTGTGTCCCGCGGACTATTCTTCGTATATGCAAAAATTTTAAAAAACTATATATGTTATATACATAATTTTAGATATGTTAAAAATAGCTCTCTCTCTCTCTCTAATTAAATTTTCTGGCCGTCTATGACTATATTCTAATTCTAACAAAAGCAATCAATTGCAAAAAGATGTTGGCAGTTTGTGCCTCTTGAAATTGAGAAGAATCACAGCAACACGTGCTAGTGAACTTTGTTAGAATGTTCAAATGTATGAACCTCTGTTACCTTTCTACTTTGGTTGGCAAGTGTAACACTCACTCCTGCTTGTTTTCGTGTCCTTAATATGCATTTTCTGTGCGGAGTTATGCCCAGTAATAGATAATTGTACCATCGATAGTGCATCAAATCCGTGATCTTGGTAGTTTAGGTTAACCACGGCAGCCCTTCCTATTGGGTTTTGCAGTCTATTCATTACTACACACAGAACAGATGATGCAAGTTCTAGTGACACTGGCATGGTTGCCTCCCTCTGAACTGCATTGCAGATCTTTTTTGAGACTTTGGTAGAGCAACTACTTTTAATTCTTTTGGCTTCTGGGTAGTACGTGTTCTGGAAACTTGCATACATTATGCTTGCAACTCTTTTTGCAGGCAAGTTATCTCAATGATGCTGAAGTAATTAAGAGGCGCCCGTTGTGGCTAGGGACATAGAAATACTACTGATGCTTTATAGTAATTGAGTTAATCTTCTGTGATTCAGGTAGCAAAAAGAACGCAATACCATCACGACAAACTTAGTAGAGTCTGTTCTACAACTGTCATTTTTTGTTTTCCTGTTGGACGGAGAAGAGTTACTTTTAGTACATGTAGAAGAATTGGGACAATAGCAAGGCAAGGCATAGCAAAAAGTCTATTTTCAGCTTCGGCAACATCTTTGGATGATAGACACTAACTAGTATTCTTGGTCAAGAAAACTACCGCGTGCATCAGATGGTTGTTAATCTTTGACTGTTTGCGAGTCTTTGGGCTCAATTTTGAATGAGAAATTACGTTTTCAGAATTTCTATCCATGATTCTGCCACTTGCACACAAATTTCAAAAAGCTGGACTTCTTGAATCTGATGTTCCCGTCGAATATGTCCTGTACTCCAGCTTCGTCGAAGCCAGGATACTTTTGCCCGTGTCCCATGAAGCATCAGCTGCAATTTGCAGGCAAGAATATTCCAGACTGCAGAAGAAGATTAGGAAGAATGTTTTAGTCACACAGTAGCGTAGCATCAATTTTAGTGTCAACTTGGTAGAGAATGTATTCTCGGCAGTGAAGAATGTATATGTAATGGTGCATTCGGATATTAACGAGTAAAAAAGATGGAATAACTTGTGTGAGAATTCAGAGGACGATTCCCTAGCTACACAGGGAAGGCGTGGGTTGCAAACCCTGCGACGCGCCTTCCTTTGTGCTGAGTAACTATCTGGATCAAGATCAGGACCCCTGAAACGATGATGGTTCACTCACCGGTGCCTTCCTTCCAAGTTCTGACGATGCTTAAAACGACTTTATTGCTTCATAATTACAATAATAGCTTTCTGTTTTTCTTTTTCTTAAAAAGGAAAAGAAAAGGACCAAAACCCTCGTCGCCTGGAGCATCAATTGTGAAGACAGCTGATAGTTTGGCGACAGCTCGAGTTCTTGTATGCACGCTGTAGCATCCCAGTTCCAAATTCCAACCCCCACGGCGGGCTCTGTCCCCACTTACTCTTTCCCCAAGCCGGCGGTCCCACAACTTTTTATTATTTCTTAAATCTCAAGGGTCATATATTTCCCCCACCGTACGTTGTTCGTGGGATTAAAAAACGCTTGGCCAGAGCAGAGCATGGTAATGGTCATCAACTATAGGTCACCTTCTGCAAAATGTCAGAGAGTCTACTTCCGGCCCGAAATGGAATTTCGAAAAAAAAAAATAATAATAAAGTCTACTGACTGACTGACTGACTCTGAGGGTTATTAGGTCATGCATGCATCATGAGTTGTACGTACACGTAAATTTTAATCGTAGCTACTATTTGGAAATTTTCGGTGCGTAACAGGACCATAATAATTGAAGTTTGAAATTTTTCTTTATTGGGTAACAAATGAGTTGACTACTGCATTCTTTTTTTTAAAGGAATGAAAGAGAGAATGAATGTCATGGGAGTTGACGTGTTTGATGGCCTGCTCCTCTATGCTGACAGTTACTTTGGCGTGGCGGGGCATGAAGGAATATAAACATATTAGTGGTAGGGTTAGTTTAGTACAATACGTTGTTTGTGAGCCGGAATAAAATTCACAAATTGGCCGGGGCTTTGCTCAATTAAATACCCGTTTGTTTTGGGCGCCAGAGGCTCAACACACCGTCGCCAAGATGCCGTCAAAGACAAAGTTAGTGAAATGGGACGAGGGAGTTTTGTAAGTTCGTGTTCTTTCAAATCGAATCGAAGAGACAGAGAAATGCTTGTTCTTTCAAATCGAATCGAAGCAATTGGTTAGTGAAGAATCGGGAGAGCAATTGGTTAGCCAAGAATCGGGAGAGCGCGGTTCGATAGGACACCAAACAGGCGCCATCGAACTAACTTGCAATACATGATGATCCCTCTCTCCCCCCCCCCCCCCCCGGGTGTTGTGACTTGGACGCTCAAGTCAATCGGGAGACATGGTGAATGAAATCTTGTACTGATACCTTCTACTGTTTCATCAGTTGTATTGTTGTCTTTGTCCGAATATTTAGTTGAATGAAATCACTTATCACGTTTTATCCAAAAAAAAAAAAAAAAAGGACACGAATCAGTACAACATCTCCATATCGGATTAGACTGGAACAAGTAAATAAAACAACGCACCCCGATGCATGCCGCCCCCCGGGTTGTTGAATTTGAGACCGACAGAGAGGCAGGTGGCACCAGAAAGGCACTATAAAACGGGATATATTAAAAAGAAGAGAGGCGTGAAATACCCGTGGCACGGGTAGAGGTCCTCCTCTACGATTCAAATCTACCACCCTGACCCGGGGGCAGCCAAACCGCTGTTTTAGCAGCGGTCACCCCGAAACCAACAAATTTCAAGCCAAAAAAAGTTGCTCCATCCCACAGGATTTTGTGCGGGCTGGAGCTTTCGCGAAACAACCTCGTGAGGTGGGCCGCTTCTTTTCCTGGTTTTGACCTCCTACCCACCAATTCTTCTGCCCGCGGTTTTTCCTAATTTCCTCTTTAATCCCTACAGGTTTTATTTATTAATTAATTACCGCTCACGCATCCTCACATCACTGAATAATGAATAAACAAAAGATCGAAGAAATAAAAAAAAAAACGTGATGGATCATAACTCACAACTCGTGACTTATCAGCTTATCAAACATGTATTTTCCCA